GAATTATTATAATTTCCCAAAGTCTTGTTGTACCTCAGTAAATGAAGTTATTTGTCATGGAATTCCAGACAGACGGCCTTTGCAAGAAGGTGATATTGTAAATGGTAAGAAATATAAGTGTAACTTTTGTCACCATGAGCAAAAAATTAAGATTTTGGCAAGTCTGATAAAATGATGGGTGTTTTCCTGATACGCTTCCTGTGTTTAACTTGTTTTCAAACTTAAAATTTAACTGTCGCTCAAAATTCTTTACAAAGGTTAAAAATATTTTTGTGTTGCTTTTAAGATACTCTACTATGATCTGCATGTTTTTAAACATGCATATTATCTCATATATGATTAGTAAATAGATGAAAGATTTCAGTATATCTTGAAGTCATGTTGATTCAAGTGTATGCCCCCCCCCCCCCCCCCAGTCTACTAATAGTTTTGAATAGATCAGGACAGGTGGTGGTTGTATAGTTAGAACAACACATAGCCATGTTGTACCTTTATAACTCCCTATTTTTTTTTTTAATGTTTTATTGTGAAGTATGTGATAGTTTACATGGGAGAACATTAGCTTTACATTCATCCTATCGTATATCATTTCACTCTCCTCTCTAGTCTGTGACTATGTCACTAACTCTGGGCCCAGGAGTCCCCAGGTCTTGCCATAGTGCTAGCCAACTAGGTCTCCACCTGGGTTCACAAGTGTCTATTGAACGTGGTTGGACTTAGCTCGCAGCTTCATTGTTGTTTTTCCCTCACTTCCCCTTATCAGTGACCAACGTGGTCACCAGTCAGAGCACATGTCTGCTTGTATATTCCCCTTGAGTCTTAGTCTTTGAAGTGGGTTTGCCCTGAGGGGACCTGACCACTTGCCTTGATGTCTCCTGGGTGAGCAACTTGCTTGTTCTTGTAGTAGTCAGTTGGACTGTCATTATTGTTTTTTATTTTTCCTGTCGGTCTTTCAAGAAGTATTTTCTGTTCTTCTGGCTACTCCAGGCTGGTCTGCTTGTCCTTTCAAGTGGAAATTTCCCACCTCAGAAGATTCTGGATGGGTTTCAGGATTCTAACAATGGTCTTATGCTATGCAGAGGCTCCACAGAAAGCCTCCTTCACTGGGCAAGTTGTAGCCCCATTTTAGGTATTCCAATCAGTTATAGACAAGACAGGTCGCTCAGAGTCAGAAATGACTCCATGGCACATAACCACCACTGTAGTTTCACAATGTCTTCTCTATTGGGGATGTCCCACCCATGAAGGTTCTGGTTCTAATGCTCCATACTCCACCAAAGCTTAACAAGAAGCCTTTTTTCCTGGGTACAATCTAGGTCTCCTTTAGATTGAAGTTATAGATTGAAGATGGATTTACAAGCTTTCTGTAATTGTCTTCCCCAGTTACCAGTTACTCTTTCTATCCCACTTAGATGTCTGTATTACACTAGTAGGCAGAGGAGGTAGTAGTGTTTTTTAGTTTTCTTTGTGTAGGTCTTTTGTTTCTCTGGTTAGATTTATTCCTAAATATTTCATCCTTTGGATGACCATTGTAAATGGTATTGTTTTCCTAATTTGCTTTTTAGTGCAGCCTTTATTAGTGTAGAGGAATCCAACTGATTTTTGTGTGTTGCTCTTCTACCCTTGCCACTTTGCTGAATCTTCCAATGAGTTTCAGTAGTTTTTTTGCTGAGTCTTTGGGATTTTCTTTGTACAGGATCATATCTACAAAGAAGAGTTTTACTTCTTCATTGCCAGTTTGGATTACTATAATTTCCCATTCTTGCCTTATAGTTTTGGCTAAGACTTCCAACACACTATTGAATAAGTGTGGTGATAAAGGGCATTCTTGTCTGGTTCCTGTTTGCAAAGGGAAGACTTCATTTTCTCTCCATTGAGAGTGATGTTGGCAGTTGGTTTTGTATATATGCTCTTAATTATGTTGAGGAATTTCCCTTCAATTCCTAGTTTGTTGACTGTTTTTAACAGGCATGATACTAGATTTTGTCAAATTCCTTTCCTATATTGATTAATATAATCATTTGAGTTTTGTCCTTTTTAAATTTATGTAGTGAATTACGTTGATTATTTTTCTAATATTGAACTATCCTTGCATCCCTGCTATGAATCCTGATTGTTCATGATGTGTTATTTTCTTTTGATATGTTTTTGAATTTTGTTGGTTAGGATTTTGTTGAGAATTATCTATGTTCATGAGGGTTATTGGTTTATAATTTCATTTTTAGTGATGTCCTTCCCTGATTTGAGTATGGGGATTATGCTTGTTCCATAAAATGTATTAGAAACTTTTGTATTTTTTTCTATATTCTGGACTAGTTTGAGGAGAGTTGGTGTCAGCCCTTCTCTGAATGTATGGTAAAATGTGTGGCTCTTGCAACAAAGTTATGAGACACTAAGTGAAACATACAGGTGGTGATCCTGGAACTCTGAGCAGTATAACATAGGACAGAAAGATCAATTGAGTGCTAACTGGATGAGGAAGCTGAACAGGAGCAGTGAGAAAGGAAAAAATGAGTCCTGGTGTGGCACTGTGGGTTAATGCACTGGACTGCCAAGTCGTTTGAATTGCTAGGTTGGTGGTTCAAGCTCACCAGTTGCTCCTCGGAAACCCTATATAGGGTTGCTATGGGTTGGAACCGACTCGACGGCACTAACAACGTTGGCTGGCTTGGAGGGTCACAGACATAATTGAATGTTTGCGAGTGGCTGTTGATGTAGCAGCCTGTGAGCACAGTATGCTCTTAGAGGTTGGTGGCAAGGGGGTGCAATTCTCCCTTGTTAAGCACCCTCCTGGTAGTAAGGGCTGTGGCCAAGCCCCTATTTTCGACAAGCCAGCGACCATTGGCACCCCGTCCTGCGCAGACTGCTTTGCCTGAGGTCAGATGCTGGGCTTCTAGAGACAGTTGAACCCACTAATGAATTCACTACACAGACAATGAACACAGAGAGCCAATTGCATTCACACTTCTGACTCTACCACATCAACCAGGAGACGGGTGGTGAATGCCTAAGAACATACCAATATACAATTTTCAGCTAAATATAAACACGACATCACAATATCTTAGAGAAAACAAGACAATTTCAGCTTACACAAAGAAATAAGACAGAGTGCCTAAAACAAGAGACCAAAATACAGATTTAGAATTTATAACAGCAGAAATATTGTTAGAAGTACCTGCTAAGGAATTTAAAAGAATGCAAATTAGATAACTTCAATAGATTTTGAGAAATATTGAGAAAACTACAAATGAAATCAAGGAAAACAAATTAGGAAACAAACTGCCAAAATAATTGAAAAACATGGAACCATACAAAAGCAGCAATTAGAAAGTCAGAAGATTAGCACTAGTGGAATCTTAGTGTGGTGCTGTAGGATAGGCACTGGACTGCAAGATCAATTTGAATCACAAGGTTGGAGGTTAAAACTCACACTAAAAGGGCAAAGAAATAGAACTGAATCAGTGGATAGCTGAATTCATGATCTTGAAGAAACATCTGTCAATATTCATCTACTAGAAGGACAATCAGTAAAAAAAGAACAAAGAAAAGCAAAAATGAATGCAGGGCACTATCAAGAAGAATAACTAGCATGTTATGGAAATTCCAGAACAGGAAGAGACAAAAAAAAAAAAAAA